TATATTTATATTTATATTTATATTTATATTTATATTTATATTTATATTTATATTTATTTATATTTATATACATGTATATATATGGAGAGGCGGGGGGCGAGGTATATATTTATATGTATCCTCTACTACTACTGCTGCTGCTGCTGCTGCTGTTGCTGCTGTTGCTGCTGCTGCTGCTGTTGCTGCTGCTGCTGCTGCTGTTGCTGCTGCTGCTGCTGCTGTTGCTGCTGCTGCTGCTGCTGCTGCAGGCGACATGAGCTGCTAGCTGCAATGGGTTTTAGGGTTTTATTAATTCATCAGAATCACTGGGCGGCCCTCAACACGGACGCAGAAAAAATATCTTTGCTGCAGCAGCTGCTGCCAGCACATGCTCTAGCTGCTGCTGCTGCTGCTGCTGATGCTGCTGGTGCTGCTGCTGCACCTGGTGGCAGCCAACTGCAACAACAACAGCAGCAGCAGCAGCAGCAGTAGGAGGAGGAGGAGCAGCAGCAGCAGCAGCAGCAGCAGCAGGTGCTGCTGCTGCTGCTGAGGCCCCTGTTAAAAGAAACAGAGGAAAAGCAGCAGCAAATAACAAACAAATTTGCTGCTGCTTTTTGGTTTCTTTGTATGAAAACGATGGTTTAGGGTTTACATATTTGAGGGTTTAGGGTTTAGGGTTTACGGTTTAGGGTTTAGTGTTTAGGGTTTAGGGTTTAGGGTTTAATGATACAAACTGCAAACAAACGAAATAAACTTGCTATCAATAAAAAGAGCCGCACAAACGCTAAACCCTAAACCCCTAAACCCTAAACCCTAAACCCTAAACCCTAATTGGTTTTACTAATAGTCTCACTAATTACATTCCCTGATGCCGTCATGAGCCACAACAGAGTAAAAACAAAGCATACAGTATATATATATATATATATATATATATATATATAGATTGTATGCTTTGTTTATATATATATATATATATTGTAAGCGGAGTGTCAACAGAACAAACAGCGTTAGTTAGTAGCAAGTAAAGAACACAAAATATATTTATTTGTTTTTTTGTGGGGGAAAGAAGAGGAAATTGTTGAGGAATCAGAAAAAAAGAAAAAATAAAATAAATTATTATTTTTATTTTTATTAATCTTAAATAAATAAATTATTATTTTTATTTTTATTAATATTTTAAATATTTCTTTTGGTTTCTCTCGCTTTCTATATACCTCTGCGCGTTTCTGCATTAAGGTGAGGCTTGAGTAACAAAACGGCGTAAAATATAAATAAAATATATTTTATTTAAAAACTAAACAAAATAAAATACAAATAAAATATATATATTTTTTTATAATTTCTCTTTGGGAGACAAAAGAGTTTCTTATTGTCTCAATTCAATTCAACATATGCTGCTGCACGTGCAGAAGACATTCCAATCCAGCCGCACGCAGCGAAACACCGACAGCCACCCAGAGGCGATCTTCCACTAAAACGCCCATTTTTTGAAATTTCTTTTGAATGAAACGCTAAATAAATGTATTCTTTTTCTAATTCTCCAAAAAAAATCCGAATTCCGTGCTGTTTTCACCCCAGATCACCCCCCC